TTTTATCTGCCAGTCCTGTATATTTAATGCATACTGAAGATACTTTGAGGGTTTGTTTGTGAGTAATAAGAAGTTCTTTGAGAGAATCTCCTAAGTTCTGCATTCAGGTCGGAGCAGGTTTCAGGTTTAATGGACCAAATACTTCTAGACAAATTTGGAAGGAAACACCTGTGAGTAGTCACAGATTTCTACTGCTACTGACTATTATTTGAGCACAAATGTAAAATATTTAAATTTGGACCAACTTTGAATCAATTGACTTCGGTTGCTCAATTTTAGACTTTGCTGGTTTTACTGGTTTTGGATGAGTGCCAATGACCAAAAAAATCCAGCACGAGGCCATCAGTATCATGGATAACTAAAATGACTGGCCACTTGAAAGTGTCAGTCATAATATTCTAGTTCCACAGTCCTGTCTTCCATTATAGAATCACAGAATCATTAAGGTTGGAAAAGACCTTTAAGATCATAAAGTCCAACCGTTAACCCAGCACTGCCAAGTCCAGCACTAAACCATGTCCCCAAGCACCACGTCTACCCGGCTTTTTTAAATACCTTCAGGGATGGGGACTCAACCACTTCCCTGGGCAGCCTGTGCCAGTGCCTGACTGCCCTTTCAGGGAATAAATTTTTCCTAATATCCAACCTAAACCTCCCCTGGCGCAGCTTGAGCCCATTTCTTCTTGTCCTATTGCTTGTTACTAGGGAGAAGAGACCGACCCCCACCTCGCTACAGCCTCCTTTCAGGTAGTTGTAGAGAGCAATAAGGTCTCCCCTCAGCCTCCTCTTCTCCAGACTAAACAACCCCAGCTCCCTCAGCCGCTCCTCACAAGACTTGTGCTCTAGACCCTTCACCAACTTTGTTGCCCTCCTCTGGACACGCTCCAGCACCTCGATGGCCTTCTTGTAGTGAGGGGCCCAAAACTGAACACAGGACTCGAGGTGTGGCCTCACCAGTGCCGAGTACAGGGGGGCGATCACCGCCCTGGTACTGCTGGCCACACTATTTCTGATACAAGCCAGGATGCTGTTAGCCTTCTTGGCCACCTGGGCACGCTGCTTGTGTATGGATACTACTGCTTAACCTGGCTCACAAGTATCATTTGGAACTTAAAAGCTGTAAAGCAGATTGGTTCCACGGGTGAAAGATGATATTGTGTACAATTGCATTGTTGGGTTTTGTTTGCTTGTACATATTTGACTAAATTTCACAGTCAAGCTTTGACACCAGGCAACTGTTCTAGAGATACATCTTTAAAGTGATAAGAGTCTTGCTACTCTTCTAACATGACAAACGGAGAGCAGTTTTAAAATTGCTAGCCAAGTTAGATAAAAAGCTTAATTCACTGTATCTGCCAGCGGGTATCTGTTCCTTTATAACGTATAGGCAGGTTTACTGTTTGGAATCAGCCTTTTACATAATGTCTCATTTCTTGATATTCACCTTCAGACATGTTAACTTTGCAGTGTTTGATATATGAAAAATAAACACATGATAAACATTGTTTATATGATAAACATTTCACAAGGGGAATTCCATGCTTATTTTGGTCCTATCTCTTAACCTAATTCCTTGGGTAATGCAGGGTTCCCTTCAACCAAGAAGTTGAGAAAATGAGGACTTGTCTCTAGCTATTTAGTATGGCTATTTATATTCTGCAGTGATACTTGATTCTGCAGATACCGGCAGTGAAACGTTCCAGATCTGAGTGTAGTCTGACGTTAATGAAATGCTTCCTACACATCTGGTATCAGCTGAGAATTTTGAAGCCAGTTTATGCATGTTAGATAAGCCAAGTAGGAATGGTATTCCTTATAGAACTAAAAAAATAACTTATTTGTTTGAAAGAATAATTGGGAGAAAAAGTAAGCTGAACTCTGTAGATCAAAATTCAGGTTTATTTTCTATAATATCAATTTAAAAAATCAAGAGAATCTTTAATATTTGCATAGATGCAATCACTGCTCTTTGGGATACCCTGTTATAAGAAAAGCTGTCTATTTTGCTCTTTATCTGAAACAATTGCTATGTTTCTGTTCTTACAGTATTTCTGACTGCCTCTACAATATTGATTTTCTGGCTACATTCTTTAACAGTAACATATATTTTAAAGTAAAGAACAGATGGTTATTAGTCATTCTGAGAGTCATTTTTGTCTAAATCTGACTTGGTCCTGTTGGTGAAGGTGGAGTAATTGTTTCTAACTCCATAGTGATTCTTAGGTCCAGTTTTAAGTTATTCTGGAACGTTCACTTTTATCTTTCCCATGGCACAAGCAATCCTGAATACAAAATATCCTCTTTTCTGAATGTCTTGTATATGGGTATTGTACTTTACATGTGACTTTGCATATGAAAGTACGTTACAAATGGGAGTATACATACATGCTGACCTTCCATCCCACACTACTGAAGTGATTCGTGTGCTCTGTGCTAGGGATTTTAGGACAGAAAAAGTTCCAGCCAGTCTTGTGGTGGGACATGATCAGTCTTAATGACACACCACAAAATCTAACGCAGAATAGCCTGGAACGTAAGTAGGTCAAATCACATTCTTTGGAGGAATTAGGTAAAACTGCATTCCTCCCAGTTGGAGGAGACTTGGAAAGGCAAACATTATTATTAAAATTGGTCAGAGCTTGGTCAGAATTGTGGAATGAGCCTTTCTTCCTTTCTGCAAAGTGGGAAAGGACTAAGTAGTTCATATTCTTGAAGAGCACTCTTCACAGCTCTCTGCCCACTTAACATCTTACTTTGAAATATTTCTTCAACTGTAATTTGGAGGGAAGAGTCACCCTTGAATCAGCACCCCTGCTTTCCCCTGCACTGAGGTTTTTGCTTATTGGGAGTTTCAAAGAGACCATTGTACTGGGATTATATGATTACATACAGACTGCATTTGTCTCTGTCATGAGGTCCATGCCTGCCTTGGAGAGCACTTGGTAGTGCAAATGTTGTGTATCCCTGTAAGATCAAGTCTTTCAAAAACAAGGAAAAAAGTAGACCTTATTTGGCCATGTTACAAGGCAGACCAACTCCTTTATCTGCATATGTGAGCATTTGTGCAAATAGGCAATCACCTGCCGCGTACCATTGCGAATCGGGAATCGCTTCCTGGCTCACGCTGCCTTTCAGCTTACTCCTTCGTAAGCCACATTCTTCATGATCTTTTCATTGAACTCAAACCTTTCCACACTCATTTCATTGAACTCAAACCTTTCCACACTGACAGGCTTGCTATTATATTTTTTTTTAATATGTATTTAAAAATATCCCTTATGGAAAAGCAAAGGAAAAATTAAGAGAGAGAATTCTCACTTGGTTCTCGTATCTTCAATAAACCTAGTCAGTTGTGGTGCTAAGGGAAGTGTAAACATAGAACTAACATCTTTTTACAAGAATTTGCTTTTGTTAATAGCAATAGATAACATGAACAAAATGAGTCTTTTGCAAGCCCGCTCTTTACTCTGAAAGAATGGGAAGCCAGTTAAGGTACTCGTGCTACACATTTTCCATTCTTATTTCTGTCAGTAACTAATGTCCAGTATTTATTTCTTTTCACTTCTGTTTTTACTAAGGCATTTAAGACTGGCCTAATAAATACATTTTTACATTTTAAAGGATTGCCTGTATAGCCTGCAGGTAGAATTTCAAAACTATATCCCATGAAATTTTGTTATAATAATTATAAATGTTACCTATGTGTCTTATCCTGCAATAACTGTTCATCCATACTGCCGTAGGGATGGGATCTGCAAGGCGGTGAATGTTTCAGCACCTAATAAAAGCGGATTGAACTTGGAATGTGTTAGAAACTACTTCCTTCATTATGCATGCTATTTATGCAGTCGGTAACCTTTTTTTTAACATAGTATTTGTCTGCATGGTAGAGAGTGCTGGAGTTTTGGACAGCCAAAGTATGATTATAAGTAAAATATTCTCATTTTTTGTAATTGTTGGTGAGATTAATTTCTTTCCAATATGTGGGGAAAATGATTTAGTGTTCCTCTGTCTCTGAATGTAATAGAGTAAGAAGGCATGTCTCCTTCAGTCAACACAGTGAATCCTTAGGACTTCAGTGTAATTACATCCTGTGCTCTACTCCCAATTAAGGGCTTTTCCATTGGCAAAGTGCTAGTTTTTCCCTAAGTACTTCATTGTTTTAAAAATACATCTCAATTTACAAATAGTTTAGGTAATTCCTGATATTTGAAGAAGCTGAATTCCCACCAAAGCTTCCCTCCGGTCTCAGGTTGTTTCAAGCTTCCTCTCCATAAAGTGAGGTGGGGGTGGAAATGGCTGGCAACTGTGCATCTGGTCTTTAAAAGAAAATTTAAATCTCTAGTAGACATTTGGTGACACATTTTAATCTCATTGCAGTTGATGAGCCATTCTCTTAGAATAGTTCGACATTTCAGCAATTTCTAGTTAGGTATATAAGGGGACTAATCTACCTCTCTGTGTAAATTATATTTTATCACCCTTCTTTCCATTTTTTTTATGTTAGGTTATATTTAGATTCTATTATCACTATTTTAAGGTAACATAATTCAGAAATTCTTTTTTTTCAAGTTAACTTCCACATTAATAAATTTCTAAGTTGACTTCAGAACTAACCTTCTCATTTTTAGGTTGATAGTCCCCTTTTGGATTTTTGGTGGAGTTATGGTCTCAGGACTGGGCTTTTAGAAGAAGTTAATGTGAAAAATGGCACAGCACTTTGTAATAGCTATGGAAAATGCAATAAAATACAGACAAATGATTTTCTGCTTAAAAGGTTTTTTTGCAGCTATGCCACAGAGTGAAAATCAAACATGATGGTGATTGATTGCATGTTGGTTAACTTCAAGAATTTACAGCAATTAGTTCCTGTTTGCTATAGAGTCTTGCTTGAGTCATAAATCCATTAGGATTTGCTGAACATCCTGGACAATGGAGTGAAGATTTACATTACTTTTCTTTACATTATTTTTTTTCTCTGACAGCAGTTTAATGACGAGTTCTTGTTCATCTGATGACATTGATCAGGAAGAAATCCAGCTCGCTTTGCAGGCTGCTAAAATTGCCAACCGAGAAAAGATCAGATCCAGATTTCATGGCAGTAATGATCTTATTCACCGCCTTTTTGTCTGTATCTCAGGTATGAGAGTAGCCTTTTGTTCTGAATGTAAAAACTATTCATCCTTTTTTCTTTTTTTTTTTTTTTCCTTGGTGCACATAAAGTTATGGTAGAACGGACTAGAGGTAAAGTTGCAGGAAGACTGTTTTGGGGCCTAAGTTGCAGACTGGTGTAGAAGGACCTGTTACCTGATGGGAACTTAGAGAATCAGAGATGCAGACATCTTAGACCTGTAGTGATGAAGAGTTTGGGCGTGCCAACAGGTTTGACTTGAAAGTGCTTCCTTTTTCTTGGTGATGCCCCGTGTCTTCAAGGGAAGAGATTTGATGCAGCAGCTGTATTTTGATGCAAAAGAAATCTCTCAGGGTTTGCTGCCAGAGGACAAGGAAGCTATGTATCAAATTGCAGGTAGCATAAAGGCCAGAATGTAACTTGGCCATTATGGAAAATTAGTTTAATTAAATGTTCAATTTTTATTCCTGACACAAGCAAGTGATCCCCTCAAAAATAAATATGAGGCTGTTACTGGTAGCAACAGACAAATTTACTTTTTTTTTTTAAGGGTGGTGTAATAGTCTAGTAATGGTTCACCTGTTTTCTCAAACTCCTAGGTGTTGCTGACCAGCTGCAGACAAACTATGCTAGTGATCTGAGAAGTATCTTAAAGACCTTGTTTGAAGTTATGGCAACCAAACCTGAAACAGAAGACAAGGAAAAGCAAAAGAAAGGTAAAGAGATTTACACATTGGTTTTCTATAGTGAATTTCTCCTGGTAGCCTGTGGAGATCCATGGACTATTTGACAAGAATTTCCTTAACATTCTGTTAACTTTTTGGCAGGGCTCACTGTACAGTGATTTGACCTAAGTTTTAAAAAAAAAAAAGAAAAAAAAAGTCAGGGAAACAGACTGTAAACAGACTGTAAACAGGATGAAGTCACTGGAAGTGTAGGTACACAGGAGTATGACTTGAGGCAAATGTTGAAAGAGTTAAAGCCTTCAGAGTGTGTCTGCTCATTTCCATATTCCTGTGTATAACAAAACAATGTTTGTAGCCCATATGGTCATAACATAATCTATGCAGGGTTTAGACTCCATAGATTTTCTTCTTTTTCCTGGTATTATTTCACACTGGACACATTTTAATTTACCAAGATATGCATCTTTGTGAAGTTTAAATAGCTGTGTGAGAAGAGCAGACTATAAGATGAGAATGCTCAGGAAAATGCTGAAATCCGGCTGGTCTTGTAGAAATTGCAGAATGCTGAATTTGGCTTTAAAATAGAAAAATATGAACTTTGGAATTCTAGTTAATTAAGATAATAGAACCAGAACTAGATCATGAGCCAATGCAAGATTTTTTTTTCTGTCACCATTTTGATTATTTCTTTTTCAAAGAGGCAAGTCTGCTAACTTATCTAAAAATAACCATGTCATCCCAGCAAGACTGCAATTACCTTTGTCCTTTGTTATGATTAGAACTATCAGCATCTGAAGGTTATTGGAGCGCTCTTTTTTTTTTTTTTTTTTTCCCCTTTCCATGATTGAAAACTTTTCCTTTCTCTTTCGCCCAGTTTCATTTAAAAGCATTTAGGATTTTATATGAAACACTAAGTTAAAAGTTGGTTAAATTTAGCAGAAAAACCTCCAGTCCAACCCAACTCTGCAGTGGGATAATGCACAAGATGCATTACAGTCCTCTCTGACTTGTGGCTGAAACTTCCACTTTTCTTTTTTTTTTTTAAAAAAATCAGCCATTGAAAGGTTTTTGGGCCCCTTTTTTTTTTTTTTTTTTTTCCCCTTTCCACATGATTGAAAACTTTTCCTTTCTCTTTCGCCCAGTTTCATTTAAAAGCATTTAGGATTTTATATGAAACACTAAGTTAAAAGTTGGTTAAATTTAGCAGAAAAACCTCCAGTCCAACCCAACTCTGCAGTGGGATAATGCACAAGATGCATTACAGTCCTCTCTGACTTGTGGCTGAAACTTCCACAACATTTTTATGGTGGCAGGATGTCATGATGTGAAGAGAGACTGGTTTTTTCATTGGCAAGAAAAAATGGGGTTAGACAGAATTGCTAGAGAGGATCAAAGAGCTCCTGAACATTCAAATAAGAGTAATAAACAAACTGGAGCTGTGAAGAATTACCGCTAGGAAATATATTAGCCAACAGTATTTGGTTGGAAGAATTTCTAATGGATGAACTACTACATTGGGAAAAAAGTCTTGACAACAGTTGACAACAGTAAGCATAAACAAAACGAGCAAATAGAAGTCAGGGACTTTTGGAATGAAGTTTCTCTTTGATATATGTAATTTGATGTGTGTGTGATTCACCTAGGGAATCTCTTATAGTCTCCTTCTTTGTAAAGGATCCAAGTTAAGAACTGGGAAGCAAAATACAGGATGCAGCTAAACTGCTGAAGTAAGAGGACTGTATGTCTGTAATAACAGCATCTTTCATTTCTGTTGTCATTCCAAAGAAGAATAGAGGAGACTTTAAAATCACTGTTTGTGTCAGGGTAAAGAAAAAGCAAGAAGTATAAGAAGGTTCATATAGATGCTACTGTAATCTAATCCCAGAAGTCCTAACATGAGTATTTTAAGTGCAAATTGGAAAAATAAGAACTTCAGTACTTTTTTTTTTTCTTTTACAGTTAATCAGGGTTTAAGGAATGCAGCACTGGAAGACTGTGCTTTATGTCAAGAAAGTATATCGTCCTCAGAACTTGCAGCAAAAGCCAGAGATGGTGACTTTGAAGGTACTTTCTTTTTTCTGAGAATTAAAATGAGACAACACTGATGTATTAAAAAATAATCATTAAAATGAAAAGAAAGAAACTCTTTTAAAGTTTGGCTCTGGAAAGCACCTATAAAAATGTTGTCATAGTATGGTTTAGAGACAAAGTCAGATGATAAACTGAGCGTATTTCTTTCAGATTTTTTTCTAACAGCCTCATGAAAATCTGATCTACAAATGAATTCCTTTGTATCAGTGGAGGAAGGTTCTGTATAGTAAAGGCTTTAATATAGCCTGTGGCGTTACACGTGAGAAGTTTCAGGGGGTTGTGTAAGATGCAAAGCCCTAAGTAAGGTCTTGTCAGCCAAATCTAAAGAGATCTTTTATATCATTTGCTATATGTGGAGGTGCTACTTGTCCCCACAGTAGAAGTACCTTTCATATTTTCTTCACTTTTGTCTTCAATATTATGAAAATATTTTGGTTATTTTCATATTCTTTACCATATTACTTCAAAGAAAAGGTTAGTTTTAGGTAAGTCTGCTGAGGTTACTCAAATCTCACTGAATACATAAGAGTGAGGAAAAGTGCATTTGTAAGTCTCAAAGCTTTGTTTGGAATTCAAGCATTCTGAGAGCTCAGAAGTTTTTGTTTCTCTTTTTTTAATCTGAGCTGCTGTGGGAGTGCTTAGCAGTCAGTTAGGGACTATAGCCCTAGTATGGTAAACATTGTATAAAAAATGGATTAAAAGATATCAGAGCACTTGCAGTCAAAGAACAAGAAAAGAGAAAGTACATGTATGAGATGCAGCAAACAAGAAAGCAATCAGCTTTGATCTTCAGGGCTAAGTGGTGGTTTCAGCACACCAGGAGCCCAATTATCAGAGTGGTGGTGTCTCTGTGGTCAAGTGAGAAATAAAAGACAATCATCAACTGTGAAACTGTATCTAAGCTTCCCAGAAATTCAAGTGTGCAGTAATTTCCCTGTGCTTTAAAACTTTGATATATTGTTGTCTATTTGTCCACATACATTAGTGTTCTTCCAGTGAGAGGTTTTGAATGCAGAATGACTGGGAACTGAGTGATAAGCAGTGTACGTCTCTGCTTGTGTGCAGAGGAGGGTGACCAACAGAAAAGAAATGTTGGTTTGTGTCATTTGTAATAAAGATCAGAAATCACAGGGCGGGGGAGGGAACTCCTAAAGATTAGGTTTTACAGTAATGCTACATGTTTATAAGTTATTTTGTGCTTATAGAAAACCCGTGGTTTGCTTGCTCACCCTTCTTCTGAAGCTGCAGGCTAAAGGATCTCAAATTTAATCTATTTATTTAGAATAGCAGGGCTAATTCATGTATAATGCACCGTAGAAATATTATCTCTTCTGGAGGAAGATGACTTGGTGGCAGATAAAGAACTATTCAGTAGTCATTTTAATTGATTTTTCTATTGTACCATAATTCAGAACGTCACAGAAGGTGCAGTAATGAACAAATCTTTAAGCAAATCCTTACCATGTATAGGCTGTATTGGAAAAGAGTGCAAGAGATTATTCATTCTCTACCATTTCAGTTCGTATTCTTTTGTTTTGAATCGATGCCTGATGCTGTCAGTGAATTTGACTTACAGAACTTGAAAGCAAGTTATTCTGAACTGCAGGATGCTGAATAACTTTCTCATGGATGTACATTTTGTCACGGCAAAGTCGCTTCACTTCCCTGGCATGTTATTCAGCTTTTAATGTTCTTCAGCTTTTCACGGCATCTTCTGTTGGCATGGGGAAGGTTTTATGTTTGGAGAAGTGCAGCCTATGGCTTGGGATGTTATTTATTGAAATAGAGGACAACAGTCTGGGCGCTTAGGTGATGTTACAGCTGTGTAGGAGTTCAGTAAGGGGGGATCTTTGCTGTTTCAAGGGCCCCTGCAGCACCCAGTTACATCCCTGCCCTAAGTGAATGGTAAAACCCAACCTGTAGTATTAATAGCACATGCAGATAACTACAGCAAAACCAACCCCCTGCCTGCACCTTTGTTCTGAAATAGCAGGTATTTCACATATGCCTGTGTGACGGAAAGCAGAGCTTTGTGGAACAACCAAGTCCCTTTTGAATAAGTAAACTTGGATGCCAGAATGAGCTTGGCTGCTATGGCACAATGTTTTCCCATGCTAACAGATCCCCTCAACAGAGCCCGTTAGCCAGTGCTCCTGCTGGTACTCTGCTTTTGGTACCCATGCTTGCTCGCTGGGAAGGCTTGGGCATGTCTGACTCAGTCTCCTTGCAGACTTTCTCTGGGACTCTTACTTGGCTTGTGTGTAAGTGGTTATGCTGTAAATACCTACTTGTACAAATCAGTATGTGTCCTCTGACTACGTAAACTAACTAGCGTAGTCTGCTGGAACTTAGCTTTCAGATTTGCTGATGGGCGGGAATTTTCTGTATCACAAAGAGACAGAAGGTGCTGGGGAGCAGGGAGATGAACTCCACCTTCCAAACCAGAACAAACCACAAAACGTCTAGAAAAAGGGGCATCTGAAGTGGGTCAGTTTGTTGAATTTGTGGGAACTGTAGAAACACCCATTCTGTCCCCTCTCCTCCAATACATTCCAGGCCTCTGTCCCTTCATGTCAAAAGTTGTCATTGCTGACAATGCTGTACAGATGTTTTTTTCTGCTGAGGTATGCAGTGATAGCTGGTGGGATACATGTTTTTGCTATCCCTAAGGCATCCAACGTGAGGCATAAACTTACAGCAATATTTTAACCTCAGCAGCCATGTGCCTTTTCCCCCCTTATAACACCTCCCCACCTACTTCATTTTTGCTGTCACTGTGGAAGCAACAGCTTTTGTGCTGGCTGATGTTTGGGTGTAGACGAAGATGCCTGGTGGTTAAGGCAACCCTTGCTGCATCAACATTGTGCCTTGTAAGTTCTTGCAGCAAGCCTGACGGGTTCGTCCTCTAGGCCAGATCTGGACCACAGGCCACCAACAGGAGTGCACCGCAGCTATGGCTATAAAAGGATTCAATGCAAAGCCTGAGAGAGTTGCACCAATCTGTTGACAGCATTGCACCAAAATTAATTATATTCTTTTTTGTACATTGTTTCTACGCTTCAGGTCACTCTTAATGATTTCAACTGAAAGTGAAAACAATTTAAAGTAAATGAGCACATCAGTAGCTCCTCCCTTCTGCCATCATGGCAGAACTTTAGCATGTATCAAATTGAGAAAGTCCAGCAAGCTACCTGCCAGGAAAACTTTTTCCAATTATCAAATAAGTTCTTCTTACCGAAAGCACCAAATGTTTAAGATTGCATCCAATCAATGGTAATAAAAAAAAAGAAAGCAAGCCCAGCAACCTGAACAAATAAATGAAGGGTTTTAAGATGCTACTGAAGGTTCCAGCCTCTACTCAGATTATGAAGATGAATCACTTGTTTTTGTCAGATTTCTCATTCTTACTGTATATAAAACCCACCAGCTGGTCCAGGTTGTAAAACAAATATGAATGGTTATTATGAGCCAGCTGACATTGGCAAGGATATGAGTTAAATCCTGTGACCTTCTGAAGGTTGAAATACAATAAACTACAGATTAATTGGTATTCCACAACAGAAGCATTTTTGAAAGTACAGATGAGCCTATGGTGTATAAGTTCATCTTTGCTGTTCTGATGCTCTAGGACTTTTTTTTGAGAAAGCATATGTATTTATACTTCATAGAACATTATAAGCACTAAAAGCACTATATGTTTATAGGGAGAGAATATAAAGCAAATACATTTATATTTTCCTAGAATATAAGGTGAATTTATACAACATTCCATAAATAAGTTTTAAATATAGTAAAATTTCACACCCTGGTTATGTGATGGAGATGGCCAGTGGGGACAAAGTTCTGTGTATAAACTCAAAGCAAATTGTAGTGGCAGCTGCTCAGAAAAAAGCATTTGGGGCTCTTTGCTACTGGTGGTACTTGCTCTGAACTGCAGTAACAGCAGAAGGTCCCTGTGTCCCAGGACCTTTTGTGGTACTGCCTTTCTCCCTGTGTCCTGGTGAGCTGTGAGCCAGCATGGAGAGAAGGTTGTTGGGAAGTTCCTGAGCTCCAGCCTGGGACAAACCACTGTTGGGTAATAAGCTGACCAAGAAGTTTGCGTGGGACTGAAAGTGGGCAGCATAGGTCACACACAAATTAAAGGAAACCTCCATATTTGAAAATGTAAGAAAATTACTCTGCGTTAACCTAGTATAAATGTATCCCTGCTGGGATAGAGCTGTGTCATTCTTAATACATATTACAGCTTTAAAAAAACAAACATCAGGGAAGTAGAAGTTTAATGTCATTCTGCCATTTATGTGTCTGGGATTGTTTCTAGCCCCAACGCAAAACTTGCTTTGTATTTGCCAGAAGGTTCCCATATATATATATACACACACAGGTAACTTTTTGTCTTGATAAGGATTTTTATGTATTCATTTCTTTATTGATCTGTAAATGTGATCAAGCGTAAGTCCCTGCTCACCGTATTTGGGAGCATAATGTTTACCCTTGTGAGCTCGATGATTTTAATAGTGAACTTTGGCAAATCTGAGCTTTGACCATACCTGTATTTTGGGGTAATTTATTACTCAGGAAGATTCATCTGTTGCGATTGAGGGAGGGTGAACATTTTTAAATGTCAATGTCATGAAGTTACAGGCTGGCTAAGAAAGTGAGTTACGCTTCTAGGAATAAGCATGAGACATCTAGAAATCGGAAGATTTTCTCAAGGGAAAACACTAAAGCTTTATGAAGTTGTTGGTGCTCCATGAAAGTATTTGCTGTAGCATCTCAACGTTCTCTGCAACCATACATTCATTTTCACTCCTTATCCCTCTAGCATCCATACAGAGCTGCCTTGCTTGCTACCACCTAGCTATAACTCCAGCCATAATGGATTTGCTGTGGCTGCCAGTACAAATACCTGTTTGTGCCAAATGGTGTTAGCATCTGTTCGCTGCGCAGCACCACGCTATTTCTCCTTGATC